AATAAAAAAATCACACTTTCTATGTATTAATCTCATTAGTCAGCAGATTTAAAACCAAAATGGCTAGAAATGACTCATTTTTAGAATCTCAAGGAAAATCCTAATCCTTCAAAATGCATATATTTTTCTTGGGTCCGTGGATTTTTGTTGTTCTAGCAAGGCTCATGTTGAAGATAGTGATCAAAATCTGACATATTAGACATGCCCATAAAGGAATATTTATCCTCATTGTGTCATTTGAAGTGAACTGCTTTGTATTGATGGTAGTTTTCAAAAAAAGGAGGAAAAGTATCTGAGGAAAAATATTTTATAGACAGCAATGGAAAGCAACATAATAGACTTCAGAGTTCTGTTCCACTATTTAACTATACTTACACTCCTTTAACAAAGGTAAATAATGTGCAGTAAATGTAATGATGTATAGAGTAAATATACATGATGATTTAATAGGTATTTTAATGATTAACTTTTTATTAAAGATCAACAGATATTGCTAACCAGACAAGTTATTTAATAAGTATTAAAAGGTGAGGGGGTAGATAGTTATTATGATGTGGATTGTTGATTTATCAGACTCCATCTAATTCTTATTTAGGAAATTATTGGTAATCAGGGGCGGCTTGTCCATAAAGGTGAACTAGGCGGTTGCCTAGGGCACCAAGTTAAATGGGGCGCCAAATGGTGGCGCAATATCATTGAGGGGTTTGGAGGTGGGGGCGCCGATTGCATGGTTCGACTAGGGCGCCAGTTGCTGGCAGCTAGTCTAGGGCCGCCCCTGTTGGTAATCTTTAACTGCTAAAACTAGGCATAGTATTTGAAATGTTTGATGATATTTTCATTGTGATGGTTCAACAACACATGGAAACAATGGGATGTAATAATACAAACGGTACCATGTCATAAAGTACATTGCTTCTTAGCTATCCTATGGCTCTGTGTATGATCCTACCAGCAGAGGCAAAGCAATTATTTAAGTTTTCATAGCTCAGCACTACTCATCCGGGCTATGACCCTGCAAAACTTCCACACGTGCATGACTTAAAATGCATGAAGAGTGCATTAATTTGAGTGGAACTACTCACTTCAAGTTACATGCATGTGTGTTTCTGCGGTCAGATCTTACACTAGGGCTGGGGAACCTCCGGCACACAGGCTGGATCTAGCCTACAGTAAGTCTCTACACCATGAATGATGCTATTTCAATCAGCATTTATTTCCATTCCTTGCTGCTTGAAGAGGGTTTAGGCACAGGTGCATTAACTGTGTTAATAGCACGTGACTTCTCAGAAAACCATGCTCTTAGGAAGTACAAAATAGTGTAGATGTGTTCAGCTTCAGTTCCTTGTGGATCCTCAATCTCTGAAGAGGTGGAAATCCACCCTCCTAAGCACTTTGTGCAAACCTCAAATACAACAGCCTAAGGAGAACATCAGTCAGAACTGTGAATTCATAAGGATGAACCTCATAGAGTTCCTATACAACTTGTTCTTGCTTCAGAGGTTGTTTCATTGGAGAGGAGTATTTAGGCCTAACTAATGTGTTGAAATGTTCTTCAGGCAGAATTAGTAATAATTATTACTGTATTGTTTGCTTATATTATTGTAAAACCTAGAAACAAGCATTGTTGACCAAAAAAGGTAATTCTATGCAACCAGTTCATTTGTTTTACTTCATAATTGATTTCCTTCAAATATCTGAAGTTACAGGCTTTATTTAAGGAGGCAGAGATGGACTTGCTCCATTTAACAGAATGAGTTAAATGTGAGGTAAATGTGCTGCCTCAGCTAGCATTACTACCTAGTTACAGCAACATTTTAGGATATGTGATAACATATTTTTTCTTTAGTCAAATTCTTCACTGTTACTTGAATACGATGGATGTTTCTATGCAACCTGAAAGCAGAAGTGCTTCAATTATTGTGAAATTTTAAATAATTTTTCATACCAGAAGGTATTAATTTTCAGTGAATTTTTAGTCTATAAGGGTGCATCTACACAGAATCCAAAACTCGAAATAAAATACGTAGCGCAAATTGCATAACTTATTTATAGTCTATTTTGAAATAGCTTTTTACGTCATTTGGCATGACAGTGCCAAGTTTAAAAAAACAGTGCTATTTCGAGCCATTCCTTACTCCTTGTGCAATGAGGTTTACAGGGATGGTGAAATAACGGGTCTGCTATATTTTGAAATAGCAGACACGTTCACAAGACACGGGGTAGTTATTTCGAGATACCTTTGGTATCCCGAAATAACTTTGCTGTGTAGACATACCCTAAGGAAGACAAAACCCAATATGCTAAAAAATATACCTAATTGCCAGTAGTAGCTGTCACTCAAGAAGTTGTCATGAGAATTTAGGAGATATTTTAATAAACTTTCTACAAATTTGCCACTTAAAAAATATTTTTTTGTACTAGAAAGGGAGCAAGGGAATGGCAGTGGCTGATTATGAATTGAAAACAAAGGCAGGGTTGTCAAAAGTATCTGAACATTTGTGCAATGGAAAAATATTCAGATTGAAGAAAACATTTGCTAGATTGGTTCAAGAACTGCAGTTACAGTGATTCACAGTTAAATATCTGTGACCTACTAAACAGCTATTTCCAATAAATATCTTACACACATTTTCATACACTATGTTCATATAATAATTTTTGTTATATAATACAGAGTAATCTTTAATTATTATTATGGGCATTTATGTTTTAGATAAGGAAAAAGAGTAACTTAAAAGGTTTTTTAAGAGCCTTTCCCTCAGTGGAACATAGATTAGCATATCTAACTAGTTCTTGAGTGTCAATCTGATTTAGACTGAGATATGGGCTTAAGTATTTATTTGTTGAATACAGTGTTGTTTTATAGTGATCATTATAATATTACCAATACCAAGATAGTCTTCATAATCTGCAGTTGCAGACTTATATGCATTCCAAAGTGAAAGGAAAAGAGAATATTGCTCCTGATGTGAAGAATTTCAGATTTTTACATTTTATAACAAAGATGCATGCTTTCATAGTAATTGTTCTTGCTTTTTAAAAAAACCAAGCATGACAATCTGACAACTTTGCATTTTTCTGGGCAACAAAAATCTTTCTATTCAGCCTATCATTATGCATCTGATTTGCTGCTGCTCAAAACCCTTTTTTGAGTAATAATATTGAAACTCAGAACCATTTCAGAGGGGGGAGAGAGAGAAAGAGGAAGAGATATAGGAAACAGTATATCAACCTGAAGGATGTTTTCTAAGTGTCAGCAAACTAATTTATGTTTAGGTTTCCTTTACATGAATGAAACATCACAGTTGGCTGAGAATGATTTGTGAAATAGTTTGCAAGATCTGTTCTAAAAGAAAACTACGGGTGACACATACTGCATGTATGCATACCTTTATATGATACAGTGTGTGACTATGCATACGTTATCTGAGTTTATATTTATAATAGCAACAGAACATGTTAAGGAATAGCTGAGACGATTAAGAACTGAAATGGAGTGAATGCCTTATGAACTCATAGCACCTGATCACTTTTAGGAATGGAGAAGTTATCAGAAACTACATACCTGATCTGCCAATGCCTGAGCCTTCGAAGGCTAACTTCACACCTAAGCAAAGTGAGTGCAAAGCACTATTCAGTTAAATACAGCAGTATTTGATACCCGTTTTAACTTGTTGTAAATGAGTGCAAAGATAAAATCGGGAAACCAGGGCCAAAGCGCTCATTAGAAACTCAGCTTTATTTTTAAAATAATCTTCAGGTAAGGACAGGATGAAACATTTGGCAAAAGTATGTCTGGTAACGCTGCCTTCCTCCAGAAAGGACCGATTGGATTTGCAAAAGTGTAGTGCCTGCCTTCCTGGCTGTGGGTAGGTGGCTAGGTTTTGTTGCAGCTGTAATGAGAGAGGGGGCAGCACAGTAACAGGATCCCAATTGGTACAGCTGTGCGAATGAATTTTCCCTCTTTTCCTTCCTCTCTGGAGTCCCCTCTCGGCTGGTGCTGGGCTGTCTCTGTGTTGCGCGTCGTGGGACGGGGTAGCTTTTCCCGTGGGAGGCTGAGTAAATACACAGCTGGTCTGGAACTG